AGAGAGTGGAGAAGAGGAGGAAGGAGGTTTGAGAGCAAGGAGTAGCTGTTGAGGCTTGCATTGGGTGCAGAGATTTGGATAAGATCAAAGCAAGGAAAAAGCCTCCACATAAGGAATCTTGTTCCACTTCTTTGATGGCTCACAGTAATTAAAAAGATCCCAGAATAAATTGAGATCCAGAGACCCACACGTGGGCCAAACATTTTGATTGTCTAAGGAGTATGTAGGCCAGTCCTGGGTTCAGAATTTTATGAGCCTTTTCAGTTTAATATCAGGGGCCAAGCTCAGGGTTTTCAAATTATCTAAGAGGCACCGCAAGGGAGAATCGGCCGGGAGGGACGAGGAACTTCCCATGCTGGAAGGGCGAGATGGGAGTCAGAGAAAGAGTAAGAGAGAGGGAGAGAGAGAGAAAACCTGGGCTGGAAAGAGCTTCCTGAAGCTCTAGAGCGGACGGAGGATCAAGAGGGCGTCCCCAAAATGACCGACCACCGCAGGGAAATACAGAGGGCACTGCCCAGTCGTCACCAGTGGAGTGCGATCTGTGAGACCCAAATAGGGCCGGGGCTGTGGGTAACCTGACATCAGGAGAGTTTTTTGACTGGAACAAAAGAGTCAGAAAGAATCAGGAGTTCCGGGAGGGCGGAGTTCCAAACTCCGGTGAGGCGGGCTGTAGCAACTGCGCTAACCCATCCACAGGAGCCAAGAGTGAGGGGAGATGGAGGAGTTAGAAAGGGAGAATTAATCCTATGTCCCAGGTAGTCGATTTCCAGGGGTGTCCTAGCAGAGTGCCTGGGGTCCACCATGACCTGATGGGTCTGAGTGGGGTGCATTCCCCCCCTAAAATACCTGGAGGGATTGCCGGACGCTCAACAGCCAATTCCCTCATTCTGGTGTGTTAGGGTTCAGGCACTCATGGGATGGGGGAGCTCATCAATCTGCAGGCCAGTGGTGGATGTCAGGCAGGCGATCAGAGGAGTGGACTACAACAGGAACAGTTGGGCTCTGAGTTTGGGAATGGGGTTCCGCCTTCCCTGTCCCGGGTTTCGGCACCAATGTAGGAACGGTGGAAAAAGCTCTGTAAACTCAACAAGCCGAAACAACCATTTACCTGTCTGAGATTTTACTAGCAGGACCATGGCAGGCAGTCGCAGAAGAGAAGGGGGGGGAAGGAGGGGGGAGGGAGAGAGAGGGATGGAGAGAGAGAGAGGGAGGGAGGGAGGGAGGGAGGGAGGGGGAGAGGGGGAGAGTGAGAGTGAGAGCACTAACAGGATGTTGATATTTATGGGCTTAACACAGGATGTGGAGGAGCAAGGCAAGTGGGCTCTTACTTCTTCATTGGCTGAGAGTTCGCACCACTTCAGGGATTGGAGGTGCGCCATTCAAAGTTTGTGCCATTCACAGGGATTGGAGGTGATGGTTCTTGCGCCATTCAATGCGTCATGGACCTGAGCTCCTGGAAGAGAAGCGCTCCGTGGAACCATCTTTACCAACAGATACAAATTGGTCTCCCCCTATATGTGATCTGATTCCTCTCTCCTGCAGCTTTTAAGATTCTGTCCTTATACTGTATGCTAGGCATTTTCATTATAATGTGCCTTGGTGTATATCTATTGTAATTTTGTACATTTGGTGTCTGTAAGCCTCTTGTATTTGATTTTCCAATTCATTCTTCATATTTGGGAAATTTTCTGATATTATTTCATTGAAGAGATTGTGCATTCCTTTGGTTTGAATCTCTGTGCCTTCCTCTAAACCAATAAATCTTAGATTTGGACTTTTGATGCTGTCCCATAATTCTTGAATGTTCTGTTCATGGTTTCTTACCATCTTCACTGTGTGTTCAACTTTATTTTCAAAATTATGTACTTTGTCTTCATTATCTGATGTTCTGTCTTCCAAGTGATCTAGTCTGTTGGTGATGCTTTCTATCGCATTTTTTATTCATTTATTCATTTCAAGGATTTCTGATTTTTTTTCAGAATCTCTATCTCTTTCTTGAAGTAATCTTTTGTTACCTGTATTAGCTCCCTTATCTCTTTGTTGGAGTGATCAATTTTTGCCTGTATTTGCTCTCTTAGGTCATTCTTTAATTCACAAGTCATTTTAATTGTGTTCATTCTGAACTCCTTCTCTGACATCCCATCAACTGCTGCCCATGGGTTCTGTTTTTGTAGTATCTTGGTTTGTTTGGGTCACTTTCCTCCCTTGTTTTCACACACTGTGTCTTCCTTTCTTGCAGTGAAGATCTAAGGTATTACAGTTTCTATCCTATAATCTTGTAGCGTCCCTGCTGATTACCTGTACCTCACCTTGGTGTTGGGCTTCCAGTCACCAGCCAGGGTCCCATGATAAATGCTATTGCAACTAAAGGTGGTGGTGGCAACAGTGGAGTTAACTCAAGATAGCAGTGGGGGTGTCCCAAGATGGCTGCAGCCACTTTCAGAGATGGGACTGAAAGGGTGGGCTGCCTTTTTAGAGGTGCAGCTGCCTCCAGGCCCTATCTGTTGTCCCAAGGTGGAGGCTACTGTGTGAGAGGGCTATGGTGATGGCTGCAGTGTCCCAAGATGGAGGTAGGCTACACCTGAGATCCGGTGTGGGTCTGTGGGTTGTCAGGGTGTTCCTGGGTCTGACCTTGGCCTAGGCTCCTATGCAGGTCAGCAGGGGTGGTCCTAGGCCTGCACCTGTGTCTGCCAGTTGGTGGGGTGGTCCTGGGCCTGGGCCTGGGCTCCAGCATGGGTCTGCCAGTCAGCAGGGCCAGTCTCCATTCTTATTCTTGAACTTATGCTTTCAGGCTCTGAGATTAGATGTCTTGGATTCTATCCTAGCTCTGCCATGTCTTCAGTGTGTCTTTCACAAAGTAACTTAACCCCTCTGTGCCTCAGTTTTTAAATTTTAGGACAGAAATGCTAAGTAGTAGTCTATTTATAGCATTGTTTTTTTAAATTCTTTTTTTTTAGATGTAGGTGGACACAATACCTTTATTTTTTATTTATTCATACGTGGTGCTGAGGATCGAACCCAGCGCCTCACATGCACTAGGCATGTGCTCTACCACTAAGCCAAAACCCCAGTCCCTATAGTATTGTTTTGATTTATAAAAAAGATGAATGGAAGTATCTCTTCACCAATGCATGATATGGTGTATGGCTTGTATGGTAACTGTTATACTGGTGGCCCCAAAAGGACCATGCCTCCAGTATGTAAGCCCTGTTGATTCTGGACTTGCTTTGGCCACTGGGTTACTCATGAGTGGTATGGAAGCAGAGTCTTCATGAGTGCTTGTACATAAGGGTTTGTCTTCTTGGGATGCTTGCCCTCGGAGCCCTAAGTCATCACATACAGAGGTTAGGCTGTCCTCTAGGGGAGACCACCTTAAAAGAGAGGTGCCCAGCCAACCCCAAGCTGCTCCACTTACCCAGCTGTGACACAAAATACCATCTTGGAGATTCTAGCCCCAGCAGACACAGTGGAAGCAGAAGAACCACACAGCTGAGCCCAATTGAACCCTAAAGCCTAAAGAAATAATGGAATTACTAAGGTAGAATGCACTTGGTAAATATTAACCATATTGTCATTGCTATCCAATGACTTCATTTCCTCTAAAATAATTAACATATTAATTAATACAAAAATAAAATAAATAAATAAAAGACACGGAAAACCGTGTTCCCCAACAACTCCACCATGTGAAAAATATGCTGGGTTCCTGTGATGCACAGAGCACCAGTGAATTACCTCCCCTATGCCTTTGTAGCCATTTGGAACCCCTAGATTGACAAAGCAGAACATTTTAAATTTCTCATCATGCTCAGATTAGTATTACTTCTCCATTTTTCAAACTGCAGGGGAGAATTAGTGCAGAACAAGATCTTATGTTTCATAGACTTACTGACTCCAAGAGGAAGTTGAAAAATACTCAGCACTACATCAAAATCACAGACTCCCAAGGATAAAAGGGCCTTTGAAAGGTCAGGGTCTGCTCTAGTCTAGGTAAACCTTTCATCTCAGCTTCCTGGGGAGCTGGCAGGCTCCTGTGTTTAAAGTTCTGCAAGCAGCACCCGGGTAGCAGCCATCAAGCCCTTCATGCATTGTGTTGCTGTTTCCAGGGGAACCTGGGACAATGCTCCCTCTGGGTCTCTGTTCAGGCTGCCACACCACAGGCTGCTATAAATTGGGGTCATGTGTGTGGCCACAAAGGGCCATTTGGTAAGAAATCATCCATTTTTGCTTGTCTTACACTCAGCTTCTTTCTACTGAGCATGGATGAGTTAAACTGAAATTGGGAAGTAGAGGTGGCTACTGGATCCCCCTCCTCCTTCTGCAGCCTCTGCAAGCCTGGGTTGCCTGGAAGTCTCAAACAGCCTTCAGCTGTTTACAGGGCTAATGAGATTCAGTCTTGCATTATTTCCTCCCCGCTACATTTGCATCATAACCTAAATCTCTCTTTACATATTTGTGTGTGTGCATATGTGCATACCACACGCAAGCCTACATACCACCCAGTTATAGCAGTAAAGGCCTTGATCCTGGTTAATCTAATTCTGAAGTCAGAGGGCAGGAAGTGGCTTCTAACTCCCCACATTCATCTGTCATGTAAGATATGAATAAGGGTGAGACAGGAGTCAGGGAGAGGACCAGGAAAAATATTTGGCTTGGAGACAAGCACTCACAGAGGGCCTCAAATTTAGACTTTTAACATTGCTTCCATAAAAGGTTATAAAGATAGTCTTGGACACAGATCCTTTTCAGTCAACTCTACACCCACATCCCATGATTGGGCCATCTCACCTCTAAGGTGCTCTGAATTAATTTTTTTAAAGGAACTTCTATAATCATCCATGAATATCATAGTTATATGCCACTGTATTTTTAGTATTAATGTTATAATTTGTTAAATTATAATTAAAATATACCACGATATCATGATCCTGTTTCAACGATTCTTTAAACTAACCATAGCTAAGCATTTATGGACAGCTCCTGTGCTTTCCAAGCTTTGCAGCACAGCTCGTTGACAGTGGGACCTTCGCAGTCCCATTTCACAGCTGAGCAAATGGAGGGAGGTTTCCAGGCCACAGGTGAGCAGCCACAGCGTCAGGTGAGCCCGGGCCTCCTCAGGGTCCCTGGTGGTCCCTGGGGGCGCTGAGAGTGACTGAGGAAGGAAGGGCCAAGGCGCAGCCCAGCCTGAGAAGAAGTCGGGGAGGCTGCTCCTCCTTCCCTGTGCTCCCTGCGCCCCTGGCTCCAGGGCTCCCGCTGCTGGGGGTTGAGTCCTCTCCCACCCTGCTCGGCCTGGCTGAGCTCCCAGCTCCAGCCCCCCCCCCCCCCCCCCCCCCCCGGCTGTGGTCAGCTCTGGAGGACCCAAGGCCCAGAATTCCCGCTCCTCCAGCTCGGGTGGTCCTTCCAGGCCCCAGGCCGGCGGGGGAGTGGGGCGGAGGGAAACCCGAGGGAGGCAGGCGAGGGTGGGAAGACGCGCAGTCATCGCGGGCGGCGCCGTGGAAACCGCTGACTCTGCGGTCACCTGGGGCGCAGCGACGACGCAGTTCACCCGAACGCCTGTGAGGCCGGGTGGCGGCCGCTGCAGTGGGGCTCTGCAGGCTGGGGGACGCGGACTTCAGGGACCTAAAGGGGAAGCGCTGAGCAAAGCGAAGGTCTAATTAGATGCCCACAGACCACAGCGGCGTCGGCCGCCAGTCAACCGCGGAAACGCTGCCGAGGGTGGAGCTGGGTGCGGTCTCACGGGTTTGGAAAGCGTGCTAGGATCCTAAGCCTGAGTGGGGCCAGGATGCCATCGAGGGGAGTCACGGGTGGGTTCCGTGAAACCGTCAAAGGGCCAGCAGGAAGACCAAGATGCCCACGCATCCCTCAAGGGGGCTCCTCCACGTGGCCCCACGAATCTTAAGTAAAACCCCCAAATTGCAGTCTTTGTGCCTTAACGCCCCCCAGACGCCAGAGGGGGATGGGGAACGCGGGGTTGAGCTTGAAGGTCTGCCCCCTCTCGGCACCGCCCACGCTGGGTCCTGCTCAGTCCACTTGGAGCTGTGTTTAGGGTTCACGGTTCACGGGGCCGTTCTCTGTGCCCTGGTCTGCTGCATCCTGCCCTGCTTCTGCACAGTCTTCAGAAACAGCGCCATTTAAAATCGGAACTCAGATCCCTAACCCCCACCTAGAATAAATTCGCACCTCCTCCTGGTTTACAGATCCCGTGTGGTCTGAGCTCCGCAGGCTGTGGCCGTCCTTCCCTGGGGTGCGGCCAGCCCCAGCCCCCCAGCTTTCCTCTGCCTTCCTAAGCTCAGCCTGGGCTCCCAACCCTCCTGGAAGCCTCCCTTCCAATCTGCTGGCAGAAGTGCTGGGCATTCAGGCCCTCAACAGGGGCCAGCTCTCAGAGAGGACTTCCCTGATCCCCCACGGGATTGACTGCATCTCACGACCTCGCGTGGCCCTGTTTCATTTTCTTCCTCAAACTTCTTGCTATTTAAAAACGTCTTCTCATGCGTGTAATTCTTTCACTTTTGTTGGTTTGCCCCGCCCACCGCGAGGGTGTAAGTCCCACAGCCCTGGAGGTTGCCTGGTCCCCACTGCGCAGCTTCTGCCTGTGATAATGTCTGGGACTGAGTAGGTGGTCAGCAAATCCTTGTCGAAAGAATAAGCGAAATAATGAATACTAGGCTTGAATTCACAGGCCCCACAGGAGTGCAGAGTCATGGGGATTCTTCGAGGTGGTGGGGTGGGCGTTGAGCTAGTTTTTACCTAATCTTCAGGGAGTCTCCAAGTAACATCTGGCTTATGAATGTATTTAATTATACTCTACCTCATTGCAAAAGAATTTGTGATCATTTTCAAAGGTATATATGTCCTTATAATATATTCTATAGATTTATGTAAATTATGATATATAAAAATTTATTATACATTTTAATACATATATTTAAAAGGAAAGGGAGAGTATGGGAAGGGAATAAGCATTGAAAAAATAAAATGACATGGGGCAAGATTAATAATTGAAATAATATCACCAAGTTCTTTCTACCTTGCTGGAAGTGGACTTAAATTTAACTTTGGACCTCTAAATTGCCAGCGGTAGATTATCTACACTAAAGTCCCTAAAAAAAAGAGAAAAGTATAAAATCAGCCCTTAGTGCATTTTTGCTGGTTAGCTGTGAAACGTAACAACTATACCTAACACTAAATGTGTCCCCAATTAATGTCACTCTTCTTATATATAGCACTAAATTCGGTTTGACATTAATGTTTCTTGATCATCTGCACCCAAAGGGCTTATGCACCCTGACACCCCCGTGTGTCTTTCTCTTGTGCCGCTGGAGCAGTTGGGGGGGAGGGGATTCTGCCCACCACACATGGATGAGGAGCTGGTCTCCAGGAGGAGAGCCAACCCGCCGCCCCCTGCAGGTTTGAGGTGGCTGACTGGGGTTTTGCTCTCCTTCAGCAGGTTGGAGTTCATTGTTCTCAAGCTTCCTCCTCAGACCTCCTCTCTGGGATGAAGCTCCTCACTCGGTTTATTTTTTTCTAAAATCTCTCTTTTCCCCAAAACTCTTTGGAGCTTCCCTTCTTCCTCTCTCTCCCTCCTTCTCTCCAACTCTCTCTCCCCCTCTCTTTCCCTGTCTTTCTGCTCCCTCTCTTTCTCTCCTCTCTCTCTTCTGTCCCCCCTCTCTTTCTCTCCTCTCTGTCTCTCTTCTCTTGTGTCTCTCTCCCTCCCCCCTCCTCTTTCTCTCCTCTCTCTGTGTCTCTCCTCTGTCTTTGTCTCTCTGTCTCTTTCTCTCCTCTCTCTGTCTGTCTCTCTTTCTCCTCTCCTTGTCCCTCTCTCTCTCCTCTTTCTGTGTCTCTCTTTGTTTCTCTCTGTGTCTCTTTCTCTCCTCTCTCTCTCCTCTCATGTCTCTCTCCCTTCCCCTCCTCTGTCCTCTCTCTGTGTCTCTCCTCTGACTTTGTCTCTATCTCTTTCTTTCCTCTCTCTCGTTCCTCTCTCTCTCTCTTTCTCCTCTCCCTCTCTCCTTTCTGTGTCTCTCTCCTCTCTTTGACTCCCTCTGTCTCTTTCTCTCCTCTCTCTCTCTTTCTCCTCTCCCTTGTCTTTCTCCTCTCTCTTTGTCTCTCTGTCTTTCTCTCTCTCCTCTCTCTCTCTCTCCTCTCTCTGCCTCTCTCTGTCTCCCCCCCCCCCTTTTGGAAGACTGTCCACAGCACCATGAGGAAGGCTGTCCACAGGAAGGCTGGCCATGGAATCCTAGCTGAGCTCCTTAACATCCAGCTCCCATGGCACCTGCCTCCCAGGGGGCAGTGAAGGCTAAATGTGCTTGTGAAGTGCTTAGAGCAGACCCTGGCACACGTGGGCACTAGCTGGGTGTCAGGTCATCATCACCCCACACCATTCCCCTCTGAACCGGCCCCTGGGCAGCAGTCGCCCTCCTGCCATGATGGGCCTGCCTGGAATCCCGTCCTCTCCTCCTGCCTGAAGAACTCCACCTTGCTGACTTGCCGACTTGTCTGACTCTCTAGTTTCCTCCTGTGGAAAGCTGCCCTTTCCTCGCCGACCCCCAGAGGCTCTTCCCTACCTGATCGTAGCTCAGAACACACCTGTTGACCCCTCTGTCTCCACAGAGCATGTCGGAGAACCTGTGTCTCCAGTGTCTAACCTGCTGCCAACTGTTAGCTTGTGTCGCTGTGACCAAGATACCTGACAAAAACAACTTAAAGGACACCTCGTGGTTTCTGAGGTTCAGTCCATGATGGGCTAGTCCCATGCTCTGTGCCCAAAGTGAGCAGCACATCATGGTGGAAAGCATGGTGGAGGGAAGCAGCTTAGGACAGTGGTCGGGAGGCCTGGATGGGGCAGGAGGGGCTGCAGGGAAGATGCCCCCCTCCAGGCAGCCCCCAGTGACACCCTCCTCCAGCAGGCCCCACCTGCCCACGGTCTTCACCCAAACAGTCATTCAAACTAGGAAGGACAGATGAGGTCACAGCCCCACAATCCAGACACCTCTCCTCTGAACATCCCTGCATTAACAAGAGGTTTGGGGACACCTCACATCCAAACCCTAACACCAGCCATGCAGAGATCTCACAATGCATTGCCCACTGAGCGAGGCACAGATCCCATTGGAGAAGATCCAATCACAAAATGGTGCCACTGAATGGCTCAGGTCTTGCACATATAAGCTACCTAGTAGCTCCTTTGCTCTTCAGGCTGGGACTAAAGAAAGACTTATTTTTACTCTTCATTGCTTGAAGAAATTCAGATTTAACTCATCATGGTAAGAGATGAGGTCCTATTTCCCTTACAATTAACATTTCAGGGAAGTGGCGTAACGTGTGGGGCGGTACCCTTTACTGCTCACTGGCTTCATGCCCAATTTCTGCCCTTTGTGAGATTGGGGTGCATTAGTACATCTGCTTGGGTTTCAGTGTCCCCTCTACAAAATTGGCATGCTCTTGCTTTGTCTTTCTGTCTCATTCCTTGTGATGAGCTGACATGATGGACAGGTGGTGCACAGCACCCCTCTGCAGGTGTGAGGTCATAGATTATCTGGGGAGGAACCTTGGTGCCTAGAGTTAAGCACCTGTCTGAATAAGGATAGGAAAGTGTGGTGGCTGCACAGCTGTCTGCAGATGTCATTTCTTCTGAATCAGGATTCAGTGGTGAGGCCATTTCTGTGGGGAGCCATTCTCGCACGTGATTGGGCACCTCCCGGATTGGGTGTGAGGCGCTCTGGCTAAACTGTGTCAGAGCTTTCCCCACCCTCTCCAGGTGCGAGAGAGAGCCTGTCCGTGTGGGGGTGTGACTGACCACTGACCCTGAGGCCAATCACTGACCCTGACCTTGGAATGCTGCCTCCCCTTGACCTTCATTGGACGGAATTTTCCCCTGAATTTCTTGTTCCCCAATAAAAGGCCACTCCCTGGCGTGCTCTCTCTCTCCCTCCTGCTAGCCCTGAGTAAGCCTTGCTGCCCTACCGGGTGGTTCGAGGTGTGAGCCAGAGAGATGAGAGCCGTCTCGGACCTGGCCATAGAAAAAGGTAATTGAGTCTGTGTGTTTTATTTTGATCTCACTAGTTAACTTTTATGCCACGAA